CAGTTACAGCTGTCCTAAGGCCCAGCATGTCTACGTATACGTTCTACAGTGCTGCTGGCATACCAGTGTTTCCTGTAGTGACTTAAAAGAACAATTTAACGAGCATTGCCGTACTGGCTTTTTAAGTGGGACATGCCAGAGGTTCACCTATAAACATAGTAAGTTTGTGGTGACTTGCTTGTACACAGAGTGAACATTCGTCTGTCATACGTGTGCTAGAAGTGTTAAGTGCTGCTTTCCCCAACACAAGGACGTTCATTTCCAATTTAGCTATTAAAGGAAATAACCGCAATGTAATATTAAAGAAAGGTTAAACATAGGGGCATGACATTTGTAAAGCCTTAAAACGTAACTAATGAACAGAGGAAATGTTAGTTTAGTGCCAGGAATACCTACATTGTTTATTCTGGACCCTATTTTGAAATTGGAATATTTTGAACTTTGTGTTAAATTGGCCAAATTACCAATTTCCGATCACTTTATTTTATAGTTGAAACAGTTGACTTGGTGATTTCTTGTGCTCAGTCGATAGAATAGAAGTAATACTAGTGAAATAGCTAAGAATTTGGTCAACTGGAATAATGTAATTGGCCTAAAATGGGAGTCAAAGTCGGCAAAATCGCCGATTCGTAAATATCGCTGACACATCAAAATTCGCGAGAGCATAATTTCGTCAATTTTCCATCAAATTTCGTACATTCTGTTTTATTACCTTCACGAAAAGATTTTCTACCATTTCATAAGAAAAAATAATTTTTTTTTTTTTAAAATTCTTGGACACTGGGGCACCACTTCAGATTTTGGCCTTGGACCCTGAAAAGGTTAATGATGTCACACTTGGGGAAAAATACGTGCCATAAACATTATTTTTGATGAGAAGTTCAGCTGGAGGATGAGCAAAACAGTTGTCAAAGAATAACAAAATCTTGCATTTGGCATCCAGTCCAGTGCCCTGCACTGGGCATCAGCCGCTGGTACAAAATGTTTGTGAAACAAATCAGAAAATACATCTGGTAAGGTATTCACACCATTAGAAAAGATGGACTGGTAAGATACTCACACCTTTAAAAAACTAAGATGCAGGGTTTTGCCTACCACAGCGAGTTTTCACTTATACATATATGCTTGCTGCATTAACATATCCCAGCACAGTTACTCTGTCCTTGGCATCCTTAACTCCAGTAGGAGCTCTCTCATCAGCTGTAGTCAATGTTTTTCTGGGGCAAATGCCAGAACAGTAATGTCTCATCAGCATTGTAGATTTGTTTTGTTGCTAGATTTTCATCAGCATCATCAGTCTTGGCAGATCTGTGTCAATGAATTTCTCTGTTGCTTGTGATCACTAGATGCTTTATCACTACGAATCTTTAAATATTTAATGCTGTGCCTTTTCTTAAAATTTTTGTAACCAACCTACTGAATATTCACAGTTACCTTCAGTATTCAGTTCATCATCATAGATTTTTGCTTTTTTCATGATCAGCATTCCATTAGTGGCATATGCTCACTCCAACACTGACTAATCCACTCCATCACCACTCAGTCAAAATCTTCATTTTTTTTTTTTCCCCTCTATGCAATGTTTGTCCTGTTTTCTTAGGTGGTAGATAGTGGTTGTTCCAACACCAAACTCTTCAGTCATACGCTTCACACTTACACCGTTGTCAGGTTTTTCCAACAACTTGACCTGTGATATAGATAAAAATAAATGTTTCCTCTTTTTCTTTTCACTGTTACCCATAGGCCTTTTCAACATTTTTAACAATATCTTCACACCACAGAGCACAAAATATCAAGTAATATGTGAGTAATGGCTGCTGACAACAAACTGGCATTAGTACAAATATGAAGCTCATCTGTCTCAGCTCAGTAGATGGAGGATGGAGCCTCCACCACATCTTACACTGAATGAGCCACTTGTGGCATATCATGTCAACACTCGACAAACTTTCAAATTTTGGAATTTCGGTTGAAGGATTCTCTCCTTAATATTTTTCTCAATATTTTGAACATTTTTCATATTTTTTTGTGTTTTGCACTTATAAAACGAGGATTTTATACCACTATACTTTAGCTAAACAATGGACCCTAGACAACTAAAATCTGTGACTTCCTCAGTGATAAACAATCTACATACATTAACATTTTTCCCAGTTTCCTCACATTTTAATTGATAATGCACAGGATATGAAAACTATGTGTGTGTAGACTGCTGATGCAGCAAACAGCTAATTTAGTTCCATCTCTGAAGACCTTTGACTCCCAGGGTGATAAGAGTGAACCCTTTAGTAAATGCCATTACTGGGCTACTGGTAATGGTGGTTGTGATGGAGAGACGAGATTCTTTTGCAATGATCATAGTAATAATAAACAATAAGGTAACCAATAGACTTTGTCTAATGATTCTGTATCATTAGACCCAACAGATTTTGCCTCATATTTTCAAGGTCTATTAACTCAAGAATTTACTTTATAAACATTATCTGGTCATTGTATGAGCAAGTGAAGTCTTAATATTAAGCGAAAAGGGGAAGGTTGGCAGCCAGGAATCTGGTTATTGTACAAGCAGGTGGTGGTTATTAAGCAGGGTGAGAAGATCCTAAATTTGATTGTGTTTTTTGGCCATTATTCGAGCTTATATGAACAATCCTCAAGCAGGATTAAAAAAAAAATTAAATCATTTATTTCTTTGTACAGTACATGTACAAATATAATAAAATAACAAAATAAAATAATAAAATAAAATAATTTCAAGCACAAAGATAGCTGCTAGAATGCACAATCATTTCAGGCAAACTAATTCTAATGCTTACCAGGCTACTTAAAACTAGACATAGGTTATGGAGTGGTATGCAGGTCTCCATCCACATTCGCAAGTTCCACTTTCACAGGCTTCAAACATTTGCGAATGCCCAGCCACCCAACGATATGTTAGGAATTTTGGTGGCGGCAGAGTTTGTTTGGAGGCAGGACAAGATAGTCCTTCAATATAACGCTAATTTCAACTCTGCTGCTTATTTATCTATCACAATTGATCTAATTCTCCATGGGGAAGTGGAACAGAATTCTTCCTCCGTAACCATGCGTGTTGTAAGAGGCAACTAAAATGCCGGGGGCAAGGGGCTAGTAACCCCTTCTCCTGTATATATTACTAAATGTAAAAGGAGAAGCTTTCGTTTTTCCTTTTGGGCCACCCTGCCTCGGTGGGATACGGCTGGTGTGTTGAAAGAAAGAAAGAAAAGAATTGATCTAATGTGACATAATAAACAATATTAATGACAGTAATAACAGTATTAATAACAGCAATAACAATATTAATAACAGTAATAACCACTCATTATTAATATTAATAACATTAATAACAAGTGGTGTTGTGTTGTTGTTGTTGAGTGTACAAGGGCCATTTAGAGCATAAGCCGTACATAGTGGTGGTGAAGGCCAGCAGAGGCGGCGGTGTTCTCAGTAGCCCTATATACCTCCAACAACATTGGAGGAGTTAGGTTCATGCTGTCCTTTTTCTATAAGTTAATCTCTTAACTTACTTGCTACACTTTATCGTTGGCTGGCGCTATAGCCTTTATCGACTAGTGCTGCTTTAGTATCGTACATGTCGTAGAATCACTGAAGAAGGCACATTCTCCCCTCTCTCTCTTCCTCCTCCACTTTGGTACTCTGCTACGAGTTCTTTCTTGGATTCTATAGTCTTTCTCACCTTTACCAAAGGGCTGGCACTAGTACAATATTTTACGATGTTTTCATGTGTTTTATGATTGTTCATGGTTCAATAAGTTAAGGAAGCAGTATTATTAGGCTAAGTAAATGCTATTATTATATTTCCCTGCACCAAACATTAGCATTCGCAAGGTTCTTTATCCCCTAACCCTTGCGAATGTGGAGGGAGACCTGTATTTTAATTATGTGTTATTACAATAATGGGAAGTAGCAGAATTTATAAATAATAAAATTTATAATAGACAGGCAGCAAAATATATTATAATTAGCACAGTTTACATTAGCACAGTAATACAATTTTATGTGTGTATTTAATCCTTAAAATTTATTTAGTGATATTGAGTTAATTTGGATTTCGTGAGTAGTTTCAAACTGGAGCTATGATTTCAGGCATAGTATAGTGTTGATAAAGTTAAATTTAGGAGTTGAGGTGATTTTTTATTATGACCCTAAACTGAATGGCAGACAGGGGACCTTTTGCTGGTTCAGGCAATGAATTCCACATCTCAGGGGCCCTTTATGCGCATTGCATTTTTGCTTAGGGTAAGATGGACACGAGGGATGTCAAAAAGAGTTTTATGCTTTGTGTTGTATCTGTGTTCTGTTGTAGCTATCAAGGAGAAGTTTGAGAGGAGGGTTTATAGTGAAGTTTAATGTTTTGTATATGTAGTAGGAACAGTAATTTGAGTGCATATTTTGTATATTAAGTTCAAACTCTTGAAGAGCAGAGGGGTGTGTTGTCTGAGACAGGAATGGGTGATTAACTGCACTGCAGCTTTTTGTTGGGTTATTAATGGTTCAAGGTGATTAGCCATAATAGATCTCCATGTACAAATACCATAGGTGAGATAAGGGTTGATTAGAGAGTGGTATAGTGTAAGTAGTACCATTTAGGGTACACAGTACTGTATCTTAGAAAGAATGTCTACTGTTTTGGAGACCTTCTTGGCTACAGTACAAATACTGAATTTTGAGATGTTTAAAACTTTTCATTATAAAAAGTTTTCCACACCAGTACTTAGTGAATGTGGGGCAATTTAAGACATCTTACTGAATACAGTTTTGTAGCTGGCTTTTCTTTGGAACATTAAGTCTTTCACTGTATCATGCATCACTAATTGCTTCCCAGAGAGTGTCATTTTCCATGAAAAATTAAGGTGTTCCTATGAGCTTTTGCATTACTTTAGTACTGTTTCCCTAGAAATGTTATTTGCTTATTGTTTCTTCCTTGTATACATGTATAAAACTTATTAGCCATATATTTACAGATGTTGTAGCGTACGAGCTAGTTGGTGGGGAGATTCAGAGAGTGCATGGGACCAACAGTGGGCTTCCAACTGTATTTGTTCTGGCCACTGGACACACCCTCCAGTTTCTCCATCTAAAGCAGCATAATACATTAGTAACCTTTGGAATGTAATGTTTAGTGTCAAATAATACTTAAATTTAAGACCAGTTTTAGGAACACAACTTGATTTTGTTAGATCATATTGATATATCTTCTTGTTGCATTATAGTATTACACCTTATTAATAATATTAATGTTTTGCTGGTACAATATATCAGAGAAAGTAGATTTTAGAACCAATGTACAGTATTACTAATGACATTAGGGTGGAAAAATCAATGTTTAATTTTGAATGAACATTTATTTATTGTGTTGACTGAGGAACAGTATTCTTATGCCTCAGACCCTCATGTAGTTATTTCATGAAGGGGCATCTAGCACCACTAAGAATTAAGAAACCATACCATGGGCGGGGTTAGAACCTGCGATCAGAGAGTCTCAAAACTACAGACTGTCGCGTTAGCTAATGTGACGGTCTGGAGTTTTGAGACTCTGATCGCGGGCTCTAACCCCACCCGTGGTATGGTTTGTTTGCAATCATGTCATTACAATTTTGTGAGTTAAGAATTAAGAAAATGGTATCTTGATACAGAGGATGTATTTTGATTGATTATTTGCTCATTAAGATGTTTAGTTTCATCCTGGACCATTCTCAAGTCGTGTCAGTTGTGACTTGACAGTGGTCTAAGATGAACCAAAACATCATCATAATTTTCTTTTTGTAAGTATGGGTTTTTTTAAGTAATTCTAGCTATGCTATTTTGACTAAGAATTCTTATCTGATTGCCTGTTCCATTCATCAGAAAAAACTATTTTTATTTTCAACTTCTCCCTCAGATCTGTGACATGTGTATTCTGTCAGTCTTATCTTTATGCAGATTCTCTGTTGTTGAACTAAAACTGATTTAATACACTGATTTTCTTTCTCCCACTCTTGTTCTTGCACATGACACATACCCTTTTTCCCTCTACTTTCTACCTCACCAGTCGCCATACAGTGTTGAATGACCAACATAGGGTTAGCGATTTCCATGAATATAATAATAATTGTTTTTATAGTAGTTATGCTCTATAACCAAAGGAAGATTAAATTTTGTAAAATAAATATGAGAGTGTGAGCAAGGTAACATGAAAGGATTCAGGGAAACCGGCAGGCCGGACTTAGAGTCCTGGAGATGAGAAGTACAGTGTCTGCACTCTGAAGGAGGGGTGTTAATGTTGCAGTTTTATAACTGTAGTGTAAGCGTGCCTCTGGCAAGACAGTAATAGAGTGAATAATGATGATGAAAGTTTTTCTTTTTTGGGCCACTCTACCTTGGTGGGAGACGGCCGTGTTAAAAAAAATATAAAAATAATGAAAATAATAAAAATGTTGCATGAATTTTGGGGAAGGGCAAAAGAGTTAGTGAGAGAGTTCAGAGGGTTATATGAACTGTGACATCAGCACTCTTCTGGCAAGAAAGCAGTTGAATAAATGACATTGGATGATTTTCCTCTTTTGGGTCACCCTACTACCTCAGTGGGAGATGGCTGGTGGGTTAAAAAAAAATAAATTATGACAATACCAGCTTCTTTTGAAAATAGCCTAATCTTTTAACTCATTGGCCATCTCCTGCTAAGGCAGGGTGACTCAGAGAAAATACATTCACTCAGTTGCCATTTTTCCAGAAGTGTGCTAACATATTAACAAAATTGTTTATAATTGCCACACAATAGAAATGAGAATAAAGTATCTAATTGTTGAAAGTTAGAAGATATAGGTTAGGGTCAGGCAGCACAGCAACTCAGTGCATGGGTGAAAATTTTAATAAATTTGTTGCACTCTGTTACATTTTAATATATGAAGTGGTGAAAAAAAATACTAAGAGAATAAAGCTACCCCAACAAGTGAATTTACAGATGTTCTCCTTAAGATTGCTGAAAGATCTAAGTTTTGAGACAAACCATTGAGTGTTAATAAAAGATGTAGTGTGAAGACAAAAGTTTATTCTTTGAAAATTCCACACACATCTTAACAGAGCATCTGTTTATGAAATGTTAATTGAAATAATAAGTTTGTAATTTCAGTTTTTAGGTAAACGTTTTATCACAAAAAATATGTCAAATATAACACATAGTGGTACCCCAACTCGACCAATTATATAAGTGTATTATTGTAAGTGCTTTTGTAAGTGTATTTATGGGGGTCTGAAACGGACTAATCTAATTTACATTATTCCATATGGGAACAAATTCGTTTGGTAACGGCACTCGAACAGCCTTTTGGAACAAAGAAAGTTCGAAACTCAGGGTACCACTGTCCTCGGTATTCTCACACAGGGTAATAAAAAAATTTTTTTTTAAATGAAGAATAGTTTGAAAGATTACAAAAAGTAAATTATCAGCATAGACTGAGATTTATTAGCGAACAACCTTAAACAAGCAAGTCTCCAAACTGGCTTCTTTGGTCTTTTTGAGATACTGATAAAGCAGCATACAAGAAACCATGTTTTTTCCACCTTAGTGTCATGAGAGTATCCATAGTCAAGGTAAATTTACCAGCAAAAATTCATTATAAAGTGGTGAACAGAATTGCACATTGTCCCTCTCAAGACATGAAACATTCTTTCCTTCAGCATGAGTATGAGAATAATGCTTGCTTTGCTCTCCATAGTTCAAGGTAATATCAAACAAAGTGCTCCTCAGATTTTCAGGCTTCATGAATGCATTATCCTGCTATGCAAATTATATATCTTATACTTAATCTTGACTAAATATATATTTATTATAATGTTAGGTTAATTAAGGATTTTTTTTATAATACTGTGTATATGTTAAGCATTTATGTATCCATTTTCCTTGTGGTTTAGCACTCATTTTTTATTATAATAATAATAATATGTACCCATCTGCCATAGCAAGTGTTGCTTAGTGTTAATGATTACATAAAAATATGCATAAGATTTCACATTATACATTTCTTTTAATATTGCAAATATACAATCAAGTCTATAGTGCCAAGATAATTGCAACATATGATTTTAGGAAGAATGGTTAACTACCTCTTTTGAAAAGTAAAATGTAATGTTTTTTTTTTTCACAGTTCATATATGTTCCAACACGATTTAAATAAAGTAGACACTTTCGAATATTACTAGAGCACAGTTGAGTACCAATGAAAAATCTTTTCTTCTTTCAACAAACTGGCTGTATCCCACTGATGTAGGGTGGCCCAAAAAGAAAAAAAAGTTTCTTTTTAACTTTAGTAATGTATACAGAAGGGGTTACTAGCCCCCTTGCTCCCAGCATTTTAGTCGCCTCTTATGACATGCTTGGCTTACGGAGGAAGAATCCAATGAAAAATATAATAAATTAAAAAAATTATATCTCAATGACCCATGATCCAACCATCATCAGTCAGATATCCAAGAGTGTTGAGAGTCTGTGCGAGTCAACACATCAACCACGGCATCCATAGTTACTAGTGGTAAAATGAGAATGCAATGCTTAGCTCCAACAAATGCACAGCTTAACAGGAAAATGTTAATTGTGATAATGTATAAGAATTTGTGTCCATTATTAGTAACAATGACTCAGTAATAATTTAATAATTGTCAGCAGCCTTATAAGATTATAAGTCAGAACTTACAAGAATCTGATGTGAATTTTTCAGTATATAGCAGTGTTCTTCCACATGGTGGCATAATGTGAAGTCTTTCAATTTTCATACATTTAGAATGATTGAGGAGGTTACAGCATTTTATTTACCAGCTGGAACAGTAGTGGCAAGTTCAAAATTATTATTATTATCTGCAGCTCAGTAAGATAAGAAAGCTGCTAAACAGACATAGCATGAGAAAGTTTTGGTCATTACACTGTATATACATTTACAAGATTTGTCTGGTTGCCCCTTCACCAGTTAACTTTTTAACCTGTAAACTGTCCAAACGTATATATACATTCTTACCACTAGCACCCCAAACGTATATTTACGTTTTATTTTTCCTGCCTCCAAATTTGTCACAATTGGCCTGAGATACCTGGTCAACATAGAATGGGTCTTAACACTCAGTGTGCACAGCATTAAGAAAATCTAGGACCACTTAATACCTTGTGGGAGCACCAGGTAAATTGAGCGCCAGCTAGAGCAAACAGCACGGCAAACACCAAGGATTCACTGATGTCATGTCGTATTAACACTCCCCATTTATGAGGGAAGTGATGTTGACCCCAAGTTTAGTGGCTTTGAGGTGGATGTTGCCACAAGTGGTCACGGAAATATAAAAAACCTCGATAATAACCCACGTGCAACATTTGTGCAACACCCTTTCAATTTTGGTACCACTGGTAGTCATCCTGCCAGAATGTCCTATAACTTATGCCCAAAATAAAAAGAAACAATTCTGGAACGTGTAATAGCGTTCGGCAGGCTGGCTGGCTGATTGGCTGTATCTATCTCTGTCTATTTCTTTGTTCCTATGAGATAGAGACAGACACATACATTAATACAATTATACATAGTGTAAATTACCCAGGATAACCCCAAAAAATCCAGACAAAGTGCTATATTGTACTTGTAGATAGTGATCGTGTGTAATACAGGTTGGTTCATGAGCAATTCTCTGAGGCAAGAGAGACAAGCAGACAGACAGACATGTTTATGTGTAACAGTGAAAACAAATAAAGCAAGGCCGTGTACACTCATCAAGTGTCACCACTATCATTAGTGGAGTGATAAGATAAGACAGCAATGCTCATCAAATGTCACCACTGTCATTAGTGCAGTGATAAGATAAGACGACGCTCACCAAATGTCACCACTGTCAGCATTGAAGTGATAAGGGAAATTATTATTATTATTATACATCATCAAATGTCACTCCACTTCTTACCCTGTCAGCAGATGTGACACTCGTCATAAACACCATGCTTCAAGAAGTTTCATATATACTTTAGCATATCTAAAACAATGCTGGGACCTATAAATACTTTGTATAGATTCCTAGACAATAGTAAATGACCAAGGCAAGTGTAAATGTTCACCTGTCAGTGTGTTTGTGACAATTTGAGTACAATTTCAGTACCTAATATTAGTGTCAGAATAAAGATTGGCTATGAAATCACAAGAACTACTATAATTATCAGAACATAAAGATTATATACAATTATATAAAAACAAGAAAAAAAGGTATATCAGCAACACTTCTGCAAGCGGCAGGACTTGATGTTGCTGTCAGGTGAGCATCCAGTGCCAACTTCGTGGCCTCATGTCTTAGTACTGACCCTAAATTTTTTTTTTATCCTATGACACATTTGAAAAATGCACTTTATTACTATAATTTTTTTTTTTTTTTTTTTTTTTTCAAAATATTCAGGGTGCTGGTTGAGAGAATGTATATATACGTTTGGACCGTTTATAGGTTAAATACTTGGATTTGAACCTTTTTTTTTTCTGTTTATTATATAGTTCATATTTAGCAGTTTTAGGCTGCACAATAATTTTCACAAGTGTATTAACTGTTCATACCTACTCTTTCATTTACTGTACAGTAAATGAAAAAGTATGTATGAGCACAACTCATTTGGATAATAGTAGTAATTAATGGAAACCCATTTTAATGTAATTAATAAATATTTCTCACATATAGCTTGACCTTCAATTTTAATGTTTTAGTGAATTCTCAGATAGCATGATAGTGCAAGTCATTGATCAGGCTTATTTTGTGCATGTACCATACACAAATTCTGTAATTTAGAAACTGAGTAAAGGCAAAGGGAAGAACTAGGATATTAGAGGACAAGATGGGAAACAAGGGTGGCAGGAGGTTAATAAAGTACAAAAGGACATGTTGAGTAATCACTAAGAATAAACAGTAAATGTTGCTGCAGACATATGTTGTTTTTTGAACAATGATTTCAGTGCAACTTTAGGTTTCTTCCTTTACAACATCAACTGTTTTGCTAATCAAAATGTTGGTCATGTTCAAATATCGTATTTTTAAGATTAGATTTAATATTTTACTTAAACATATTAAATAAATTAAGGCATTCTTTAACAAGTTTATATATTAGCAAGCATAAATGAAATATTTTAAATAGAATATGCATTTTCTTGTCTTTAATTATAACTTCCCTCTTACATGTGACTATTACTTTAACTTCCTTTTTTTAAGTTCAGTGCTGAAAAAAAGTTTAATTAATTATGAATAAAGGACAAGTGTTTTCATTATCGTTATAACCAGACCCTGTCAGACACACATTAGCTTTTAATTTTGTTTTGTTTTTAACTGAACAGCCGTCTTCCACCAAGACAGGCTGATAACATTTTTCCGATATAAAGTAATGAGTGGAGTTGCTTCTAAGGAACAAATGGCTGAATATTTTCTCCAACTATATTTTTTTGCCAATTAGTATGTCACATGACAAAAACACCTTCAAATGAGCTGAGGTAGGTAACAGCAAGACAAGTGCCCTCATAAGTCCACCACAAGTGATCAGAACACAGCAGAGGTTGAGCCAGGTACAACAAAAAATTCCTGAAAGGAAGGTGACTTGATACCAGTGAAAGGTTCCTGACCCAAGGAATCAAACCTAATCACCTCCCATTTTCCAGGTACTGCATGACCATTATTAAGAAAACAGGTATGCAGTTCCAGGGCCTGTTGTACTTGGCCATAATTTAAGTCTCAAGATTAATTACTTGGGTCAATCCTTAAAGGCAAAGGCCAAACACAAGGGGGTGGTTTTTTCTTTACCTGTATATTCCCTTCACTAAGATACTTAAAATATTTACAAAGTTAAATAATCAGAAGAATAGCAGTAGTGTGCCAGAGTGCAAAGAGCCACTCATAAGTTTGTTATACACTTCAGAATAAAAAAGCAAGTACAAGTGTATATGATCAGTCAGGTGGTAAAGCATGGCCTCAATTTGGATGGAGGCAAACTTACATGCTACTGGTTGATTTGAATTGCACAATCCAACAGAGCAGTGGACCCCCTAAATAACCTGCTTCATTCTAAATGCTGGTTGAGAGGGCATGCCAATTGGTGTGTGATGGACGCCAAATAAATTGTAACTTAATGTATACCACAAATGTTATATATTTAGTGCCTTCCCATGAATATAACAACACAACATGGATGAATATATTAGGAAGGTTAGAAAAAATTTCAGCATGTTTGTAAAACAAGAAAGTTTTGGGTACCATTAAACACAATAAATTTGCAAAATGTTACCGAGTAAGATATTGGAAGAGATAAAGGAATTATAATAGTTGGGACTAGTTTTGTGTAAACCTTGAACAACTGAGAAAAAAATAATGAAAAAAAAAAAGACCACAATATTTCTGAGAAACATTTTGAATAAAAAAAATGTTAGTATCTTTATATTTAGGAGTCATACAGTGCCAAGGAAGGGAAGTACAGGTACAATTCCTAGGATCAAAACCCCTTACCAGCATCAAGGAACCTCCCTAGAGGGGTACATGGAGGTCACACTACAAGAAATACATAGATGCAGACTTTACAAATTTTGATGAGTGCCTGAAGACCTTAACTCTATTTTGTCCATATCTTCAGGCAGTTCATAAGAGGTATAAAAATGTCAAGAAAAACACAAACTATAATACGCAGGTTCTTCATTTATGCAAGAACTGATTCACCTTCATACCTAAACTATGGAACTTTTTTCTTACCTTCTTTAATACTGGCACTATTAAATGAAAGCACATATTACAGTCTTCTAAAACAAAATCATGAATGTTAACTTCAAAGAAGTAAAATAAATGCACATCCTGTAACCATAATAAAACACTAACATACTCCAGATGATCTTCACTCCAAGGCAGATCTAGCCTGCTGTGTTAATGTTAAGGCTATACAGTGGCCACAAAAAAAATCTATACATGAACAATTTTTGGACAATAAAACGAAAAAATGCAACTTACTGTGTGTACATGTATTTTATTTTCACTTTTTAGCTTCCAACTAGTACTTGGTCATGTTAACCCTGTTCTTTATCACCATCTGAAGTCGCCTGGGCATCAAAGTGGAGAAGAAGGAAGCATCCATGTAGCTCCAAAGTTTCTTCAGTGCCTTCTTCAGGTCCATGATGTTGGTGGGTCGAACTTTTGCAATCTCATTTTTCATCACATGCCAAGCATTTTCATAGGATTCAGATCAGGAGAATTGCCTGGCCACTCCAAAACACTGATATTATAGCCCTCAAGGAACTTTTTCACTGCTTTTGACTTATGGGCAAGGGCATTATCATGCATAAAATATTCAAACTCATGAATGATCCAGAATGTTACCATGTGGTCCCTTAACACCTCGATATAATTACTTCCCTTCATCGTAATGTTCTTAAGAAGGAAGTATAGTCCACCCCTGCCATTATAACTACTAAAAGCACCCCAAGCCATAACACTGTCAGGGTGCTTCACAGCATACTGCAGGTCATAACGGGACACACCACTGGGACGACAGACTGTCTTGGAGCTACTCTTAACGAGCCTGAAGGTACTCTCATTGCTGAACATCACCTTCTGCCACTGGTCTGAGGTCCAATCCTTGTACTTCTTGCAGAACTGAAGCCGTTTCTTCTTCATGGCTTCAGTTAGCATGGGTTTCTTGGTGGCACATCAAGCAGGCATTTTCAGGTCCTTTTGCAGTTGATGCTGAATGTTTGGCACTGCAACGTCTTTCAGGAATGCAGGATGCATTTTCTCTTCACATAGACAACATCCTGAGGAGGGAAGTGTTATCATTTCCTGCCATAACAGCCGCAGAGCTCAAGAAAATGCATCCTGCACTCTGTATGATGTCGCAGTGCAAACCATTCAGCACTGACTGAAAAAGGACCTGAAAATGCCTACTCAACGTGCCACCAAGAAGCCCATGCTAACTGAAGCCATGAAGACCAGTGGCAGAAGGTGATGTTCAGCGTTGAGAGTACCTTCAGGCTCATCAGGAGCAGCTCCAAGACCATCCATTGTCCCAGTGGTGTGTCCCATTATGACCCGCGGTATGCTGTGGAGCACCCTGACAGTGTTATGGTCTGAGGTGCTTTTAGTGGTTATAAGGGCATGGGTAGACTATACTTTCTTCCTAAAAATACATGTATTACAATGAAGGGAAGTAATTATATCGAGGTGTTAAGGGACCACATGCTGACATTTTGGATCATTCACATGTGAATTTTTTATGCATAATGGTGCCCTTGCCCATAAGTCAAAAGTGGTGAAAAAGTTCTTTGAAGACAATAATATTAGAGTTTTGGAGTGGCCAAGCAATTCCCCTGACCTAAATCCTATCGGCAATGCCTGGCATGTGATGAAAAATGAGATTGCAAAAGTTCGACCCACCAACAACATGGATCTGAAGGAGGCACTGAAGAAGCTTTGGATCTACATGGGCGCCTCCTTCTTCTCCATCCTCGCCACTTCGATACCCAGGCGACTTTAGATGGTGATAAAGAACAAGGGTAACATGACCAAGTACTAGATGGAGCTAAAAAGTGAAAATAAAATACATTTACACACAGTAAGTTGCATTTTTTTGTTTTATTGTCCAAAAAGTGTTAATCTACAGATTTTTTTTTGTGGCCACTGTACTAACATGGACAGTAAGACCCTTGCCTGTGCTAGGAGACAGTTACTAACACAGCTGCTGAGGACATCCTTAACAGGGAGTTTCTAACCTCAGTTGATAGGTAGGTAGGTATGTAAACAAATGTATGCATAAGTATATGTATGTATGTGTGTGCACATGTACACACTCATATTTATACTTGCCTATTTGTGGTTATAGGGATGGAGTCTCAGTTCCTGGCCCTGCTTCTCAAACTGGTCACTAGTGGGTTCATTTTCTCAAGGCTTGGTGATCTCTGTCATAATTATTCTTAAAGCTATGTATGGATTCTGCCTTTATCACTTCGCTGTCCAGATCAATCCACTTCCTGACCATGAGAATGAAAAAATATTTCCTAAGTAACAAATACACACACTCACACTCATATTCACTCTCACTCTCCCTTTCTCACACACACACTCCCTTTCTTACAATTCTCTCTCTTACACACACTCCCTCTCACTCTCTTCCTCTCTCTCCCTCTTGTACACTCTCTACCTCTCTCTCCCCTCTTACACTCTCTCTACCTCTTCTTCCCTCTCTTATATTCACTCTTACACACTCCCTCTCTTTCTCTCTCCCTCTCATTCTCACACTATCACTCTATAGAGAAATCTAGGGGTAAGCATAGTGCCCAGCCAGAGGCTCACATGAGCTGAATAACTTCTGCAGTCAATGCTTGTCTAGCAAGAAATATCAACAGTCATTCTAGGCTCTTTATACAATGTACGTTAAACCCATCTTGGAGTATGCAGCACCAGTATGGAACCCACACACAAAAAAGCATATTAAGAAGCTAGAGAAAGTGCAGTATGCAACAAGGCTAGTTCCTAAGCTAAGGGCCACTAGCTACGAGGAGAGACTAACAGCGTTGGACCTGACAATATTGGTAGACTGAAGAACCAGGTAGGACATGATATCAACATGCAAAATACTCAGGAGAAATGATAAGATAGACAGAGAAAGGCAGTCCAAGAGGTGAGAAATGGGAACACAGAGGCAACACTGGAAACTGAACCATAGGGTTGGTTGGAAAATGGAATGATCTTGGTGAGGAAGTTGTGGAGGCAGGCTCCATACATAATTTTAAGAACAAGTACGATAGGTCCTTTGAGACTAAGAGGAAGTGAATCCAGAAAGTGGAACATTAAGAGGTGAGACAAGGTTCTGAGAATCTGTCCCTCCAACCACAAATACCAGAGTACATGCATATGTACACACACACAAATGTTTGTATGTGTGCTTGTTAGTTTATGCAGAGGGTGTAGCACAGTTCAATAATTGTGTTTTTTATATATCTGTCTCTTCAAGCTCTATTTGTTTCCAAAACTGAGCAAGCCTGGAGCACCAAATTTTCCAATAGTGTTCACACTGTTCCTTTTTAAGTACATGAGCATGAGCTGGTAATCCAGTTTCATAAGCCACAACCACCAAAACTGACTCCACCTGGAAAATAAAAATATGCATGAAAGTTTACAATGTGCATAATCTTAAGGATTTTGTATATATTGTACATATTCTAAAAATGCTTTGTCATGCTGGGCTGCAAGAGTTCTTACAAAATGTTGCAAAAAGGACATTAACTTGCAAAGCAAACATTTAATCATACACTTTTTGTCTGTAAATAAAATTCGGCTCAAAGTGGAACATCACCTGTAAATAAAGCTCTACTTAGAGCAAAACATCACCTAAGAACAAAACATCGTCTGTCATTAAAGCTCTACTTAAGAGCAAAAAGTTGTCTGCACATGGTGTGTTTTACCAAGGCAAGTCATAAATGCTGTTTTATACAAGTACATCAACTATTGAACATTTATGAAGCACATCCCCTCATGTTGCTTCAGGCAATTACACCATCAAAGTTTCTACAGCATAAGTCAGAGCCATGGTGCAGAAATTTTAAACTGCTCAAAATCCATAGTAAACAACAGTACAAGTTCTGGCACTTTTATCTCTTTAGTCTTTATGGTCAAGTGCAAACACTGATTTACTAGCTAATTTAACCTAACATCCACTCCTGAGCAGATGCAACTATTTATCACACTAGCCAATCTGCAGATGGATCAAGTTAATATATCTTCCTGATGAATACCTTCACCCATACCAGTACCTATAGTGAAACAGATAATACCTGCACCCATGCCAGTACTTATACCAAGATGGATAATACTTGCACCCATGCCAGTACCTATACCAAAATGGATAATACCTGCATCCATGCCAGTACCTATAGCAAGATGGGTAGGGTTAATGTAACTTCCTGATGGAGACATGCATCTATACAGGTACCTACAGAGAGATGGATAAGGTTAATTCCCTATTTCCACTAAGTGGAAGAATACAAATTTGATGAGCAATGCAATGATAATTTGGTATGAGGTTTTGTAATACAGTTTGATTATTCCTTGTTAAAAGTAGTGTAAAACAAACTTAAAAGAAATTTCTTTTTTTTTAAATAAACTATTATTCATATTTAGATTTATCATTACCTTGAATGGGTGTGGATGCACTGGCCTCAATACTTGCAGCAGAAAGTATCAATCTAATACAGAGCACATTCGTCCATTTCATCCTACACTCTACATACTAAACACCTTTGAACATAGTGTAATTCAAAGTAATGTCTATTACCCTTAAAAATATAATTTTTTGTCATCAAACCTCAAGGATTATATAATACCAGTGCTTCTGAATATGAACAACTGCTCAATTTTGTTACCCTAGGTTAGAAAAGCTTTATGCATACAAAAAGTTTTGTAATTTCACTTTAGCTACCTTCTATAGAAGAGACAAACAATTTAATTAAGATAAATGCTTACTTACATGGTAAGGAAGTTTATAATTGCTATCAAAATTAAGAGCTCCCAAATAAGCTACAACTTGAAGTGGATCATCAAACATAGACGTCAAGGAGAGTTTTGGTTTACTAGAGGTCTTCCATTCAATTAACATTGGTGTTCCTCTGCAAATGAACACAAATGACATTAGTCTAAAGTCTTAAATACAACAGGAAACAGTGTCCTTTTCCTGCCTTCAATCATACAAACATAACTTCTTGTTCCTAAATTCATTTTCATAAATATACCTGGTTTACCCAAGTGATAGAAAGAGCAGGACCAGAAGCTTCCTCATACTCAGTTAATATAAGTGCATTCCAAATATATTCAGGCCCCAAAATCTTTACCATTGCCATTAAAATCTTATCAGTATGGCAACCATCCCAGGAGGTACTACAATACTGTCAAATGTGTCAAATGAAAACGTATTACAATTTTTGCTCTCTGGCATGATGGCTGATCTCGTTCTAACTCAAGAGCATGTAGATGATAGGTGAATGTTACAAGTTTATATATGTATTTACACTCAGAAATACGCTTATCTTTATTTTCCAGTATACAGTGGACCCCCGCATACCGATGGCACCACATAACGATTAATCCGCATACCGCTTGCTTTAATCGCAAAAATTTTGCCTCGCATACCGCTTAAAAACCCGCTCACCGATTTTCGTCCGAGACGCGTCCAATGTGCGCCCTCAGCCAGCCTCACATGTGCCGCCCGTGCCATTGTTTACCAGCCAGCCTCCGCGGTAACATCCAAGCATACAATTGGAATATTTCGTATTATTACAGTGTTTTCGGTGCTCTTTCTGGAAAATAAGTGACCATGGGCCCCAAGAAAGCTTCTAGTGCCAACCCTACACCAATAAGGGTGAGAATTCCAATAGAAATGAAGAAAGAAATCATTGATAAGTATGAAAGTGGAGTGCGTATCGCCGACCTGGTCAGGTTGTACAAGAAACCCCAATCAACCATCGCTACTATTGTGGGCACCAGAAAGGCAATCAAGGAAGCTGTTCTTGCCAAAGGTTTAACTGTGTTTTCGAAACAAAGATCGCAAGTGATGGAAGATGTTGAGAGACTCTTATTGGTGTGGATAAATGAAAAACAGCTAGCAGGAGATAGCGTCTCTCAAGCGATCATAAGCGAAAAGGCTAGGAAGTTGCATGAGGATTTAATTAAAAAAATGCCTGCAACTAGTGCTGATGTGAGTGAATTTAAGGCCAGCAAAGGTTGGTTTGAGAGATTTAAGAAGCGTAGTGGCATACATAGTGTGATAAGGCATGGTGAGGCTGCCAGTTCGGACCACAAAGCGGCTGAAAAATATGTGCAGGAATTCAAGAAGTACACAGAGACTGAAGGACTGAAACCTGAACAAGTGTTTAATTGTGATGAAACAGGCCTGTTTTGGAAGAAAATGCCAAGCAGGACCTACATTACTCAGGAGGAAAAGGCACTCCCAGGACATAAGCCTATGAAAGACAGGCTTACTTTGTTGATGTGTTCCAATGCTACTGGTGATTGCAAAGTTAAGCCTTTATTAGTGTATCACTCTGAAACTCCCAGAGCGTTCAGGCAAAAGAATGTCCTCAAGGAGAATTTGTGTGTGCTGTGGAGGGCAAACAGTAAGGCATGGGTCACTAGGGACTTTTTCTATGACTGGTTACACCATGCATTTGCCCCCAATGTGAAAGATTACCTAACTGAAAAGAAATTAGAACTTAAGTGCCTCCTGGTGTTAGACAATGCCCCTGGTCATCCTACAGACGTGGCAGAGCGACTTTATGGGGACACTAGGGACTTTTTCTATGACTGGTTACACCATGCATTTGCCCCCAATGTGAAAGATTACCTAACTGAAAAGAAATTAGAACTTAAGTGCCTCCTGGTGTTAGACAATGCCCCTGGTCATCCTACAGACGTGGCAGAGCGACTTTATGGGGACACTAGGGACTTTTTCTATGACTGGTTACACCATGCATTTGCCCCCAATGTGAAAGATTACCTAACTGAAAAGAAATTAGAACTTAAGTGCCTCCTGGTGTTAGACAATGCCCCTGGTCATCCTACAGACGTGGCAGAGCGACTTTATGGGGACATGAAATTCATTAACATCAAGTTTTTGCCTCCTAATACCACTCCTCTCCTGCAGCCCATGGACCAGCAGGTTATTGCAAACTTCAAGAAACTGTACACAAAAGCTCTGTTTGAAAGGTGCTTTGTAGTGACCTCAGAAACTCAGGACCTACATTACTCAGGAGGAAAAGGCACTCCCAGGACATAAGCCTATGAAAGACAGGCTTACTTTGTTGATGTGTTCCAATGCTACTGGTGATTGCAAAGTTAAGCCTTTATTAGTGTATCACTCTGAAACTCCCAGAGCGTTCAGGCAAAAGAATGTCCTCAAGGAGAATTTGTGTGTGCTGTGGAGGGCAAACAGTAAGGCATGGGTCACTAGGGACTTTTTCTATGACTGGTTACACCATGCATTTGCCCCCAATGTGAAAGATTACCTAACTGAAAAGAAATTAGAACTTAAGTGCCTCCTGGTGTTAGACAATGCCCCTGGTCATCCTACAGACGTGGCAGAGCGACTTTATGGGGTCACTAGGGACTTTTTCTATGACTGGTTACACCATGCATTTGCCCCCAATGTGAAAGATTACCTAACTGAAAAGAAATTAGAACTTAAGTGCCTCCTGGTGTTAGACAATGCCCCTGGTCATCCTACAGACGTGGCAGAGCGACTTTATGGGGACATGAAATTCATTAACATCAAGTTTTTGCCTCCTAATACCACTCCTCTCCTGCAGCCCATGGACCAGCAGGTTATTGCAAACTTCAAGAAACTGTACACAAAAGCTCTGTTTGAAAGGTGCTTTGTAGTGACCTCAGAAACTCAATTGACTCTAAGAGAGTTTTGGAGAGAGCACTTTAATATCCTCAATTGTGTAAACCTTATAGGTAAGGCTTGGGAGGGAGTGACTAAGAAGACCTTGAACTCTGCTTGGAAGAAACTGTGGCCAGAATGTGTAGACAAAAGGGATTTTGAAGGGTTTGAGGCTAACCCTGAGAGGATTATGCCAGTTGAGGAATCCATTGTGGCATTGGGAAAGTCCTTGGGGTTGGAGGTTAGTGGGGAGGATGTGGAAGAGTTGGTGGAGGAGGACAATGAAGAACTAACCACTGATGAGCTGATAGATCAACTTCAAGAGCAAGAGGCCAGACCTGAGAAAACTGGTTCAGAGGAGGGTAGAGAGAAATTGAAGAAGTTGCCTACTACAAAGATTAAGGAAATCTGTGCAATGTGGCTGAAAGTGCAAACCTTTATGGATGAGTATCACCCTCACACAGCTATTGCAAGCCATGCTGGTGATTATTACACTGACAATGTTGTGAAACACTTTAGGGAAGTCATAAAGGAACGAGAGGTACAGGCCACTATGGACAGATATGTTGTGCGAAAGAAGTCCAGTGACTCTGAAGCTGGTCCTAGTGGCATTAAAAGAAGAAGGGAAGTAACCCCAGAAAAGGACTCGACACCTCAAGTCTTAATGGAAGGGGATTCCCCTTCTAAACACTAACACTCTCTCTCCCCTCCTCCCATCCCATCAATCATCACCAGATCTTCAATAAAAGTAAGTGTCATGTAAGTGTGCATGCCTTTTTCAGTTTGTGTGTATTAAAATTAACATTTCATGTGGTAAAAAAATTTTTTTTTTCATACTTTTGGGTGTCTTGCACGGATTAATTTGATTTCCATTATTTCTTATGGGGAAAATTCATTCGCATACCGATTATTTCGCATAACAATGACCCCTCTTGCACGGATTAAAATCGGTATGCGGGGGTCCACTGTACTTCTTGAAAGTGAACATAGATATGAGTACGGTGATGAGGGTATCCCATGATTTCGATAAAGAAAAACTGGATATTACATTGGAGGGAGGGAGTGTGGAAGAAGTGAATGTGTTCAGATACAGTGGAACCTCGGTACTTGAACAGCTCCGTACTTCAACAATTCGGTATTCGAATGCTTTCTTCAGTAAACAAATCACTTGGTAGTTGACCGTTTGCTCGGCACTCGACCAAACAAACAACCTGCCAGACCTTCGCTGTAAACTATTTTGTGTTTCCTCACATTTTTTGGTGTTTTTAGTATATTATTTGTTTAAACAAGTCACCATGGGACCTAAGAAAGTTAGTGATAACAGCCAACCAAAAACAAAAATTGGTTGAGAAAAATATGTTAGGTACTCGGACAGATCGGCACTCGAACAGCCTTCTGGAACAAATTAAGTTCGAGTGCCGAGGTTCCACTCTATGTGGGAGTTGACTTGTCAGCAGACTAGCTTATGAAGGACAAGGTTAACCACAGAAGTGATGAATGAAAAAAGGTGAGTGGTGCTTTGAGATACATGTATTTGTGGAGACAAAAAATGTTATCCATGGAGGCAAAGAAGGGAATGTAAGAGAGTATAGTGGTACCAACACTCTTATATGGGTGTGAGGCATGGGTTGCGAATGCTGCAGCGAGGAGGTGGCTGGAGGCAGTGGAGATGTCGTGTCTAAGACCAATGTGTGGTGTAAATATTATGCAGAGAATTCATAGTGTGGAAATAGGAGGAGGTGTGGAGTTACTAAAAGTATTAGAGGGGTGAAGAAGGGTTGAGGTGGTTTGGTCATTTAGAGAGAATGGAGCAGAGTAGAATGACTTTGAGAGCATACAAATCTGTAGTGGAAGGAAGGCGGGGTAGGGGTCATCCTTGGAAAGGTTGGAGGAAGTAAAGGAGGTTTTGTGGGTGAGGGGCTTGGATTTCCAGCAAGCGTATGTGAGTGTTAGATAGGAGTAAATGGAGACAAATGTTTTTTGGGACCTGACAAGATGTTGGAGTATGAGCAGGTAATATCTTGTGAAGGGATTCAGGACAACCAGTTAGACAGGCTTGAGTCCTGGAGGTGGGAATTACTGTACAATGCCTACACTTTAAAAGAGGGGTTTTGGATACTGGCTGTTTGGAGTGACATCTAAACAGTCGTATCTGAGCACCTCTGCAAAGACAGTACTCAGCTCCTGGCCCTGCCTCTTCACTGACTGCTACTGGGTCCCCCCTCTCCCTGC